AACTTGAAAAGAGTGGGTGGAAAAAAGCTATGCTTTAGGAAGACAACCATCAACGGCTGCATCCACATAGTGTCTTGTCTTACGGAAACCCTGTAACACCTAAATGCAATTAGGTGTTACAGGGTTTCCTCTTAAATGTATGGTCAAAGCTCCAGAAAGCATCTTTTACTAATTTACCTGCAAATCCAAATTGAGTAAAATGCGCATGAGAAAGTACAATATATTGAAATTGCATGTTTATACCGTTACAAATGGCAGACTACATTTAGTCCTGGAATGAGGGGCCGGAGAACAAGTGAGCATATGAAAAAAGGGCAGGAGGTGAACTCAAAGCAGTTATACATCTCTGGGTGCTGCCCCATTTCCAATACAGGACCCTCGAGAGGTGCATTAGATTTATATCCAGAAGAAAAAGACAGACGGGGCGGAGCCAGGGCAAAGCACACACGCTCGTAACAGCGGCCACAGGTCCTCAATTGATCTGCCTCGGCTAAAACATGCTCCATAACGACTGCTATCATTTCAGAAAACGTGAAACCTGCTCATCACTGGATGAATAAGTGTGAGTGCAGACGCATCTCAGCCAACAGAGAAATGCTGCTACAGACGGCTGCAGAGGCTGCCAGTGCCAGATGAGACACACATCCAGATGCCCCAATTAGGCCATTGCTTATTGGGTCAGGACAGACTGAGAAAGCCCAGCATGTGAGAAAAGGGGCAAAAAGTGGCCACAGTATATGGAACAGTCCGTTTTCTTACAATCACACATACTTTGGCTTTTCAGGCCAAAGAATGGAAGATATTGGATGACATCATAACCATTACCTTACATTGTTATCATCTACATTTTGTTAATACCTCCAGTCAAACGAAGCCCAATGTTGGTCTTCGTCTGCTGGCCAGCGTCTTCACAATTTAGGTTTAACCAAACATGGCTCCATAGAGAGACACAACACGTCATCCTAAGAAGACAAAAAGCGGACTGTTTTGAAGGAAGATCACGTCATTTTCAGGCATGCTATAATAAGCTGTGTCTCAATTCAGAGCCTTAATATTACATTGAACATCGAAAGGTGGATGGTGACTGACCACAAATCTAATTCTAATTTGTTGTATGATCCAGCCACACTGTGCAATTTTATGAAAGCTAGCTCTGTGGTTTACAGTTTGTAAGAAACGTTGATGTTAGCACTTTCCTTTTGGTGTGCCAATATGTAAGTGGAAAAACTGGGGTGATATTTTCAGATCTTTCCGTCTCAGTTTGCTCTGGAGGCAAATCATTCTAGAGGGAGTTAAGAGATGCACATTCGCTGTACAGTATATGACATTCTGATAAGAGCAATCATTCTGAACTTCTAGGATTGTGACTGAAATATAAAAAATGTACATTTCAACTATGAATAATTTAAGTCTTCTCCCGTTTTTTCCTTTGGTGTCAAGCGGGCGATAAGTGAGGATAGAAACGTCCTGCGGTGTCCGTGTGCGTACCAGGCTGAGCTGCTGGGACAGCGGGAGGCTTTCAGGGCACTTTGTGCATTCAAGGTGGCGAGGACGGCAGCCGGTCAAACCGTCAGGAAAGATTAGGAGTCTGATAACGAGGGACGGGCCCATGCAGGTCTGTGGCTTTCTCCTTCCCCCACAGAGGCCAGGAGCCCTGCAGCAGTGACTTTCTCCTCCTCAGCATTGTTCACCCACCGCCACAAGTACAAAACCAAGGACCCAGCATGGGCTTCATCCTGCAGCCAGTCCCACAAAGAACTAATTTGTGTTAGAAGAGTGAAGCCTTTTGTGAAGAGCAGCAGCTGTAGCTTCCAGCATCCCGCCACTCGCCCAGCGAGATTGCATAAAGCGAGAATGCAATTTGTATCCCTAGGGTTGCTGACAAGTGTTTTCACAGCTGCATCTCCTTCTCATTTCTGTCGTGCTGTTGGCCTGTGTGGTGGGGTTTGGATAAAGAAAAACGCAGACAACAAAATCTCCGCATGTTTGGACATGAGCAGCAGATTTATTATTATTATTATTTTTATTATCAGAGAGACAGAGCTAGTATTATACTAGACTTACAATGCTTTTGAAATGCCTATAATGGTAAGTGGTAATGCATTTAAAATGTCTCTAAAATCAACTAAAATGAAAAAATCTATCTATAACAACGTTTTCTTAGAAATTATTATATTCCCAAGAATCAGTGAAACTCTCACCACTTAATTTGCATGGAATTCCGTCTGCAGTGCAATCACCTCATGACTGGCGCACGCTGAGTGCATCTGATCCAGCACAAAACGAGGACCCTGTAGCAGCCACTCTGTTTCCCCTAATCCTTCAAATACTCTTTTTGGCTTATTAAAAATAACAATGACCTGCTCTGTTCAGTAATCCATAGTGTTAAAACACCTATTTGTTGCTCAATTCATGTCACTTAAAACCAGCACGCTGCATGTTTTGCTCTCCCCTCAGGGATGATCAGTTAGCAGCCCTGTCCATAACCACCTACAGTGCACATAGAATACACAATTAAATACACAATACAAAACCTCTGTCACGTTTTCATGAGGTTTCCAACTGCTTTTGTGAAACTAGTGAACTATTGACTGGAAACAAACAATTCAAGGTCAATCCAATTTGACAAATCCCGAACAAAACAAGGCTTTTCACATATGTATTGCATTTTCTTTTTTTAAAAGAAGTAAAGTTTACTGTCGTCATTGGCCAAGGTCGTAGGCAATGCGTGCAAGAGAAATAGAGCTGGACGTACGCAGTCATTTAATTATACTTTATGTGGGTGTTTTGTAATTGATTTGCTTGAGTTGATTATGTCGTCATTGTCATCATTTTGTGTGCACAAAACGTGTGCTGGGAAACAATAAAAGGTGGTGAAAATTGTGCATCTATTTCCCTTGTCACTGATGTATTTCATTTAACTATGTTGATCTTAAATTGCTCGCTATGCAACAACATTGATACTTTTGTTAATTGCATTTTATGCAATTTGACAGAAGATTGTACTGTATTATGAGATTGCCTAATGAATAGCAGTGTAAAAGTTGAATTAAACGTATTAAAGGTATAAAATGTATAAATGTGACCATGTTGCATTTTCGCACAGGCTAATTTTGTTTGACTTTGAGATTATTGTGAAGGAAATGTCAATCGTACAAAATGACAATTAAATGTCCTACATGCTTGGCAAATATATGTGTCTGATCCTGATTCTGACCCTGATTCTGATCCTGCAGAGTTTGTTTGCTTTTATACTCAAGGCCCGAGCCGTGAAGAATAATCCAAAAATAAAGAAGCCTCTGACGCATGTAACTGTTTTTAAATTGTCACTGACTGAATTGCGTGTGATAGTACAAGCCCTTCTTTCAGAGTTCCGGTCTTCTGCACTGATAAAGACGTCAATTTCCTATCATAGAGAAATAAAAGCAGATAATAACGCTGACAGACTCTTGCAAGTATGACTGTCTTCTCGTTTCCACTCTATCCAACTATTTCTGTTTTGTTTAAAGCCTTAATGAAGCTTTCTGAATGATGTCATTTCATGATGTCATAAATCTACCTGTTGACAGCCTGCGTCAAAAATAACCCACGGAGCTGTTTCATTACACGTTATCTCGCATGGCACCAATAAGCATCCCGTGAGGAGCTGCTGGAAGGTCGTATCCAAACTGCAAAGCAGTTCTTCAGTAAAATGAGAGCCGGGGCACTGATGCCTTCGGTTGATGTAAAAGATGCTTTCCACCGCTGTCCCATGCTTACGAATATATTGCTGAATATTTCATTATACAAACACATGAATATGGAATAGATTGCAATTATAAAAATATTATTTGTTAGTTGGTGGAAATGTTTGAATGCCACAAGTTGATTGCACAGCCACTGCACTTCAATTCTACAAATAGAAAGACACTGATAACATTAGTTGATTAATTCCGCAGTATAAATACCAGCTTCTAAAGAAAGAATAAGTGTCTCCCCTCACCTCTGATGATTGGTTTTGTATGAATGGCGAGAAGAGCATCACCTTGGATCAAAACCCACCTTGATTTAGTCTTCCCCTGGGAACTGCGCTACGGAGCAGCACATTGTCAGATACATATTCTTCATGTAGTAGTAGTGAGAAGAGAACTATCATCGATAACATTGTCAGTGGGAGGAGAGCAACACCGGCGTAAATCCCAGTACAGCAACCTAGTAATTTACATAGATATGTGAACCATGCAAATGTCCCAGAGTCAGAATGAATAGACTTGCAGTGACAGCCCAGATGGTCATTTTGCGATAAAATCACACTTTATGGTTCCATAAAACAGCTGTTTGACGCAGCTGCAGGTTTTGATTCAGAGGTTCACAAAAAAGGTTTAACTGCAAAGAACAAAGTGGAACGAGTTTTTAGATTTAGTTGCATTACAAGCGAGATGAGAGTTAAATCCCAGATAGTCAGCTCTGCAAATTACATTAAATCTGTGAAGCAGAAACAAATGCTTTACACGACACAGACTTTAAATTTTAAGTTGATTTGGCAAAGCAGTTTATTTTCAGCCCAAATGTATTTTGCTTTTGGCTCCATTTAGTTATTTGCAAATCTGGAGGAAACCATGTGGTTCACGTCTGAGTTTCCGTGCTGTACAAGTGGTGTATCGCGAATTCTTAGAGCTGAAAACGTCAGACGGAGATTCAAAAGTAAAACGACGAGCCGGAACTGTCGAGTTGGATGAGGGAGCTCTGTGGATTTTTATTAATATCGTATGGCATTTGATCATCCTCTGTCAGTGTGAATAGGTGAATGGGGGGAAATTGTAAAGCGCTTCATAAATTCCACCATTTCTTTACCATTTACATTTTGTCGTGAGACGCTCTGTAACGAGACTATAAGAAAAATGGGAATATATTTGATGTTCTTGTGGTCTCAATGTTTAAAATCAGTTTCAATTGACCTTCAAAATGACAGCCAATGTTGAAGCAGGAATTCGTCCTTCCCCACCCCAGTATGTCCTCACCTGTCTGATGGCACACAGAAGCTTCCCGTAGCAGAACACGATCACCAGGAACGGCACAATGAGGCAGAAGACAAAGAGACAGATGATGTAAGATATGCTGTTGGCTGTTCTGGCGGTCCAGTCGACGGAGCAGGTGGTCCCGGGACCCTCCGGGCCGTAGTGGCTCCAGCCAAATAGAGGCGGCGCAGTCCAGATGAGGGAGTAGACCCAGGACAAGGTGATCCCCAGCGAGATCTTGTGGTAGTTGGAAGAGTCCGCCTCAGTAGGCGCCACCATGGTGCTGTACCGCTCATAGGAGAGGACAGCCAGGGAGATGAGGGAGACGATGCCTGCAGGGGAGGAAGGGAAAAGGTGACCATTAGCAGAGTGGATTCGGGCACACAGCATAAACCAGAGTTCAATTCAATACACCAGCTAACACTGTAGCAGCATTTAATGGGGCCATCATATAGAGACTGAGATGCACCGCCTGTCCAAATGTTTATCTACTTCATGGAGGGAGAAATGCAGTCACTGCGACGCTCCTTTGGGTGATAAAAGTGCAGCTAAAAGGAGCTTAGTGCCTACAACAAACACAAAGATATGTTATGATTTGATATAATAATGCCACAGTAAAATGTGCAGCACCATAAAACTATAGCAAAAGTGTATAGTTTTGTTGTCATGAAATATTTTGTTTCAGCCTCGGGTGCTAGGAGCAAATACACATGGCTGGAAATCATAAACAGCAGCATCACCTGAAGCGTGACAGAAGCAATGTAATGAATCAGCAACACGGGAGACTCTGAGAAGCTCTCTTATCTTTCTCTCTCTGGAGCTCGGAGTTCATATTGACCCCTCAGTATTTTATCCTCTTTGCTATTTGGATTGAAGCCATTACGACCCACGAGGCCGGGCTTCAGGCCCGTGGATTCTCAGGTGTAATGAGGCGACTTCTCTTTGCACAGTGTGGGGTTTTTTTTAGCTCTGTTACGGCAATATTACAAAGTGAAGACTGTTTTACAGCAGCCACCTCGTGTTTCCGTTTGATCTTAGCTGACCTAAAGCAACCATCCCAAACATTCATCCGATCATCTGACAAAAAGCATGTTCAGCCCTTCTCACTGCTGCCCTATCGCATCAGAGTTATTCCGTCTGGACTCAGGTAAACTGTATTCTCTCAACACCTGGCAGATGTAGAGTCATGTGATAGCATGTTTACAGCAACGTGTCATCATGAACACGGGTGTACGGCTCTAAAAGCTGCCTTTGAGCCAGTGTGTTTTGGAGCAGACGGATTTAAACATGGATTGTGATGAGTTCTGTTATTGCATTTAACCCATTTGCAACAGAACCTGAACATAGAAACAGTCGATATTCAGTATTGTATTGTAAGTATATTAACCTGCAGGGATCCTACGGCTGATACTTGGCTAACGTTCACTAAAGAAATGGACCCAAACACCAAATACAGGGACTTACAATACAACTCTGGATCACATCACATGGTCTTCATGAGCCAGCTGGTCCTAAAAGTGCTCAGAAGGATGAAATGTTTTCACATCTACCGTTCAACGACAACTAGGCTCCATCTGCAGAGGTATCAATGAATCAATCCATCATACTTCAAACTTATACAAACATACAAGAAACACATTCGATACCAGTGATTTTGTTTTTTTCATATGTAAGATCGTTTTACTTCACTGTGTTGTAATCATTGGGGTATTTGTTTTACATGAGGTAACGAGGCACGAGGGATTGTAACTAAGGCAAAAACACTCAATATGAAAGATATATTGACGAAGAACACAAATCATTGTGGATTCATTACATTTGGATCCACTCTGGTTGATCGGATCGGTTCATCTTGCAGAGAAATGACTTCTCTTAGTGTTGTTCATAGTTTGTGTGTTCCAGCCATTCCTGTCTTTCTCAGTGACCTTTACATCAATTAACCAACTGACGAGAACTCAAACTGGTCAGAGTGAATTCTACAGCCTCTGTGTAAACTTCTGAGAAGAAGAAGAAGAAGAAGAAGAAGCTTTCCTTCAGCCATCCCTAATGATGTGAGCTATAACAACCCACGTTTACCAGATAATAACCAATAATCACTTCTTTCTAAGTGAATTCCACCCCAAAACTCAAATCGGGAGCATATGGTGTGGCACTTACTTGAGATGACAGACCTGACAGACATCCAGTATAAATGGAGCCAAATCGAATCACACCTTTCTCAAACCTGCAAAAGCTCATTAACAGCTCTCTGTCCTCACATCAAAGTGTAATTCTTGCAATCATTGTGTCGCTGAACCTAATGGAAAGTAATCTAATCTAAAAAACACTTTATAACCATCTAAAATCAAACATCACCTTTCATCCGTCTTCTTGTCCTCGCCAACAATAAAAGGAATATCTGTGTCCTGTCCTCTCTGGGACGTCCGCAGGCTGTTTATGCCTCATTCGTCTGTTTGAAAGCAGCCCGATGGGTGTAAATGATACCGCATGGCCACGAAAAGGCTGTTTGAATAAAAAACACAGGATCAAATGAAGCCCTGTTAGCGCTATAAATCCCACAGCCTTTTCCCCTCAGTCAACACAGGTTTACAGAACCACTGTGAAAACCATAACAGGTAAAGAAAAGAGATCAAATTGCAAAAGTCTAACCGCAACAGTAAGGATGACTGCTTAGGCAAGTGCCATCCACCTGCACCCAGGATAATCATTGTTGGACTCAAAGCACACACCCATCACCCACAACATCGTGCTCCCGTCAAAGCCCTCTGCTTTATTGCACTATTAATTACTCATATCTTATTAGCTGGCCCGCTCACTCCGACCTTTATGGTGGAGCAGCAGCGTTCTGTTTGCTTTGCCCCCCACGGAGAGAGACCTTGTCTGGCCCCTCGCAACAAATCAACATCACGCAGGGCCATGTGTGGCCTTGGTCGGCATGACGCACGTGTACAGGCGTTTTCCTCTTCCTTGTACTTGTTCTTCCATTTCTGAGCCCACGTCTGCGCTGGGGTCGTGCGTGAGCGTACGTGCGGTGGTTCAATCTGACTTTGGTATGCGGCGAGCGGGGCCCCGACGCTGCCGGATCGATCCGGCGACTGTGTGCAAAGTCCACTTGATGCAGACGGAGGCAACCTGACGGCATGCGGGAACATGTAGACAAAAGATATTCTGCCCTTCCTCCACGTTATAATAAAAAAACAACGAAACTTCAGGGAGATGATAAGGAACATTTCAGCGATGGATGCCAGGAGGCTGACGGCAAAGGAAAAAGTACAAGAAGAGTTGTTCCGGTTGCACCGGCATGTGTCTCCACTAATTGTCTTCAGTTTTCTGCTCTCCGCATAAAGTGATCACAGTGGATCTGAAATGATTTAGTCATTCATCATGATTTAGTCATTCCAAGACGTCATGTGCTTAAAGAGAAAAGTTTAAAGAGGGAGCAGGAATGCAATGTCCCAACACCAAGCCAACAAGGTCTTTTGTCACCCTGTTATTTGAAGGAGCATCGATCATTCAGAAAAGCTTTGTCGAGATTTGGTGAAGACTGACACTGTCACTTTGTCATAGCTGCATTGCTCATTTCAACAATCAATGTCACTTTTCCTTTCTCTGACCCTCCTTTACTCTGTTTTCAACTCTGTTTTCATCACCCCATTGAGGAATTACTCATCCATAACCAATGGAGGTTCTAATGATATCCTCTCTCTCTCTCTCTCTCTCTCTCTGGATCCCTTGTTCACACATTTCACGTTTCACACTGTCTCTCCTCGTGCTCTGTTCCAGCCGCGAGTCCTGTCAGACAGATTGTAATAAATTGGCTCCTTGTGAATGTGATTGTGGTAATTCTTGACATAAGTTTAACGAGACATGAAGTAATTCTGTTTTCTAAATTGCAAACTTATCCTGGGGGATGTAGAAGTAGCTTTTGTTAGTCTGTTTTGTGTGCCGGTTTCAAGACGCTCTTAGTAAAGAAACATTCTATTGAGTTAAGTTGATGATACTGTGTGAGGATTCAGAAGGGCGGCCTGGTCAGAAAAGCTAGGGTGCAATGTGTGCTGTTTAAATCTGACAAAGTGTTTATTTCCCTCTTTTGTTGCATGGATTACTTTACTGACCTAACAAACAGAGACCTGAGGGGCCGAGGGGTCCGGATGCTGAGAAAGAGACATTTACAAAAAAAATAATTACAGAACAACAAAAAGTTGATGCTGTTACAAAGATGCAAAACTACCATGATGAGCCACAAAATGATTGTAAGAAAATGCCAGTCTCCTGCTGAGACGGAAAATGATTACGAAGACGCATTGAATGACAAAAAAATGACTTTTACCCCAAAGAGGCAAAACTATACAAGAAGAGAAACAGTATGAAACCACAAGAGGAACACAAGTGGACACAGAAGGCCACACACAGCGTGTCGCTTTCAGTTGGGGTGTCATGTTCCGAGAGGTAAGGGACAGTTTCCCTGTTTTTTTAAGAGCCATGACACTAAAAAGCTCCAATATATGATCAAATAATAAATCTTGCCTCTTAAATCCATTCAGAGAGTGTGTTTAATTCCAATCACTAATACACTAATACTGAATGACAGAATTTTTTTTGTCTCAAAATTGGCAACAATCAGCAATATTGTTTTGTTTGAAATGATACAATGCCCAATATTCTTTAAATACTATTACTATTATTATGTTATTAGTGATTGAATCTGGAATATAAGGCAGAGTAAATACGATGCATTAATTCTAATTCTATCCAGATTATTAATTTGAAGCTTTAAAGGATTGCATTTCTCAAGGAAAGGATTTTAATTGTCTTTAGTAAAAATATATACTTATTTGCAACTTAGACAGCACCCCTGGCTTTCCAAAAATGAACACAAAGCTTTTTTTCCCCCTCAACACCTCAACCTGTTTGGATTTCTCCTAAACTGATGAGGGTCTTATTCCCGGTTGCATCGTTGTGGCCCATTTGTAACGATATCAGCACTCCTTTCCTGAGCCAATGCAGACCAGAGCCCCTTCCTTCATTATTCCGATTTTCCCCAGATGATTTTATTTTGCAAAAAATGCTGAAGCACCTGCCGAAGTCTGCTGGTAGACCGTGTCCAAACAGCCCACAGCCTCAGACCTGCACAGGCAGCGAAATGAGCAGTGATGAGGCTTGTTCCCGAGCAGCCTCAAGCACAGACACTCAACGGAATGGTAACAAGCACTTAGGGGTCATTTCAATAGCAGGCTGCACTTTGGACCCTCTAACGGTCCAGCACAACCGGAGCCTACTGACACTTGGACTAATAACCAACTGTGAGGCAGCACCAAGCTCACGCACTGCTTTCCTGAAATACACCCGGCAATCTTATGCCATTAAAATGCATCCACGTGCAGCTGTGGCTGGAAAGGACTCAATAATGAGCTGTCCAGCACCATCAAGCACCACAAAAAGATTCTTTATTTATTTCTACAACTCATCAATTGGACAGAACCAAGCCTGCCCAGTGAGCACATCCCAAAAAAGAGAAAGAAAGAATAAAGATAAAACAGTTGGTCGCATAATTGGTCTTATTTCTCCGAATCTGGTGCATCAGCATCTCTCTCTCTCTCTCTCTCTCTCTCTCTCTCTCTCTCTCTGTGTTTGTTTCGTTTGGACGATTTACATGTTTTTCTCTAATAGTTGAATAAGACCATAAAGGGACATCGTGCACAACAGGCGTTATTTTTGTATCCTTGACATAAAGGATAAAGGAACCACGCACACAACCCACCACCGGTCACAAACACATCTGAAACCAATAAAACAAGGCACAATCGCTACATGCGATCCACAAACGTAACAGTTACGCAAAAGTCCAAATGTAATTAACATCGCCTCCTATGGTTCCGCATTTGTACTCACCGAAGAGGGAGTTGGCGAAGCCGTACCACACGCATCCGCCTTCTCCTATGAGCCACCTTCCCTGCGTGCTGGCGGCGAAGCTGAACGGGGTGCCCAGTACGCACACCAGCAGGTCGCTGATGGAAATGTTAATCAGCAGCAGGTTGATGGGCGACCGCAGCATCTTGTAGCGGCAGAAGAGCACGAGCACCAGCAAGTTGTTCATAAGTCCCAGAGTGCCGATGAAGCCCAGGCACACGGCCACCACCAGGTGCCCCGTCGGGGTGAGGGTGTTGCGGTGTGAGCCTCCGCTCAGGTGCCCTTCCCCGGCTGCGGCGCACAGCGCACTGCTGACCCCCGCGCACCCGCTCAGGCTCAAGTTGGACACGATCATCGCAGTCCGGTGGCACGCTGGGCGGCACAGAACCGCAGCTAATATGTCGTTAACATTTCTTTTTTTTTTTCTTCTTATATGTGGCAAAAAAAAATTTGATGTAAAACTGTCGCTGACAGCCAGCAACACTTGTTGCTGTGAGCGATGTCAAGTAGGGGGAGGTGGGGGAGAGGGGGGGGGGGAGGTGGAGAGGGGGGGAGTAGTAGAGCCAAACAGCAATGTGGGACAATAAAACGTCTGTTCGTAAGGATTTTAAAAGTTTGCTCAGCGCAGGGAAGGGGGCTTGCGGGTGTAGTACATTTTAAAAATGGTAATAATAAAAACAGGCAAACACAACAAAACTTTTGTTTAGTCGGTGCTCCACCGTGTGGCAGGTCACTCTTTCCAAAGACAACGTCTCTCACTCAAGCACTTTTCCTCTTCGCCCGTATTTAAACCTCGGATGCCCGCTCTTCAGCGGCTGACGGGAGGGGGGAGAAGGGAGGGAGGCAGCATTTAAATCATGCAGCATACCGATTGGACAATTACCGTGTGGCTCGATTGATGTACTAAAGTCTACCCGCTGTGCTCAAAGCCCCGGTACAACAACAACAAAAAAGTCCACCTTAAAGCTCCAGGAGCTGTCTTCTCTCTGCTGGTGCTGCTTTAACGTCCACTGAGCAGGCGTCGATGCGTGGAGCTGTCCGCGGTGCTGAGCAGAGTCACCGACTCGGCGGTGGCTCATCCACTAAACAAATGTGCTGTGGTTAGTCTGCTTTAAAAAAAATCCTCTATGGAAATAAACAGAAATGGCTTCTTTTTTTATTACAGCACTAAATATGAAAATAATTTCTCTAATAAAAATGCTTCGAGAGAGTTAATGATGCTCAAAGGTAAAACTAGATTTTTTGCCTTCACACCTTTCTCAAGTTGGTGTTGATGAGGTTACCGGGAGGACACTGCTGTACTTCTAGTTGGCTCATGGAAATTAGGTGTTGACTTCGATTTGGTGTTGTTTGGACCAAGGAATGCTGATGAGGTCACTGTAGAGCACTGAGGGACACTTGGTGAAGCAGAAGTAAACTCGGCATGACTCTGGGCTGTCGGGTCAATTTTATTTACATAGCCGAATATGAGAAATGTACCTCATGGGGTTTGCAATCTGTCGTATGCAGGTGTGGATATCTGACATTTCCACGGAGGAAATCAATTTAAGTACGTTTCTGTTTTTCCTCTGGCTTTTTTTCTTTTCTGTTTTGGTTGATTCTATCTGTGAAATAGAATTGTAATTTTCCAATATGCAAGCACGGACGACATGCACTCAGTGCATGGTATTTTCGGACTGGAATAATGAGAAGCAGCAAACTACGAAAGCATGAGTGTCAGGCCTGTGTCCTCACGGTGTCCATGTATTCTGCACAGGAAGAGGAAAGTTATCTCTTGTCAGATACTTCACCTTGTCTCTTTTCAATGCTGTCTGTGTAAATGTCTGCTGCTGACATACTTATGCTAAGCCCTAAAAATACAAATAAATGCAATTCACTTAATAAAACGCTGGTATTTGATGTCAAAACAGTGTTCTCAGCAATGTGTGACCCACTATTAATAAGCCCTCTGGATAGTTCTAAAAATCCAATGGGAAACTTGCTCCTCCCCTTAATGGTCAGTTCTAATTCCTTTTCCCACCAAAGAACCCCCTTGTCGCACCGAAGCAAGGTAATTGCCGGTGAAAACTGTGCAGTGACATTTAATCTGCCGTCTTCCCTGTATACAGCCGTACCTGTAATTGGAGTGAATTAAGACGCTTGGGTTCTATCGTGAATACCACCTCTGTGTTTTCCTCTCAGTTGGTATTTTAGTTGGATTTCCAGGTCAATTTGGTGTCTTCACTCTCGGGAGTTGTTCAGGAAAATTCAAATGGGTTCAGAAGGGCAACACAGAGAATCTGTGTTACATGTAAATCAGATAAACTTGGTTCATTGGACCCAGAACTGGCCTCCACATACATGCACAGCAACGTCCCTTCTGGACCAATTTACAAAATCAGCTGGAGATAACTCGTAAACAATATTGACACGATCAACTTTCCAGGGCCTCGTCCTTTTGAGTTGAGTTTCCGGGTCATTTTCCTTTGCTTCTCCTGCTTCCTGCGACACGCAGTGACTCTAAAAGGCTCGCCGGTGTGAATGTGAACACGTTAGGTTGTCTGTCTTCATATGAGTTCTCTAACAGCCAGTCGATCCATCCATGCTGTACTTTGCTTTGGACCGATGTCTTCTGGGACCGCCCCAAGCCCTTTCCACCCGACTAAGCAGGTACGGTCCATTTGTGGATGACTCACCGGCAGTTACAGTGCCAATTTCTTTTCATTAGTGCGTTGTGTTTTTGCATTTCTCACCCTGTTTATTGTAATTGCTCCATGAAGTCTCTTGCGCTTTCCTACAACCTAATCTGCAATCAAGGTTTTAACTTAAAATGAAGTCAGGGGAAAGTCATTGATTCAGCTGCCAGTTGCATCTCATTAAGCGTTAGTTATCATTGCTTACTTGAGACTCTTTGTGGTTCTCGGTGAGACGTTGCTGCAGCAGCTTTAAGGTCTCATATTGATGTATCCTCCTCGCTTCACCACCTCCATCTCCGCAGCTCGTTGTTTTTGTGTTGGGGGTATCACTAGTTATCCTGTTGTTTCCTTGTCTCCAAGACAAGTTGTGACAGAATGGAAGTCCCGTTTTTTATCAGGCTTGGTCATTATAAAAAGTTTTAGCCAAGGAAACAGTTTTTACAGTTGACAGCTGCACATGTTCAAGCGGTGCTTCTCTGCCTCCTACATAATCTACATATGCGGCATTTATGGTGGTCATGTGAAGCAGAAGTTGGCATTTTACGACTTTTTGAAATGATTGATCTCCAAGGAGCCAGAAAGGAACAATAAACCTCTAGTTAAACATAAGTCAGAGGAGCTCACGTCCATTCAGGTAACACACAGACAAATACATCAACAATATACAAAAACACATTCACTGGTGAGCGAGATGTTGCTCAAAAAAAGCACCTGTGGAACCCACCCTCACAATGTGAAAATGTCTTTGTTACTGTACTAACGTGAGGAGGAATATAATCAGGATTGTGTGTCAGAAGCAATGACACAGGTTTATAAAGATTATACCGTAGATTATATTTTATACCACACCCATTACATTTTTACAACCATACATGTACATGCACTAACTTTGACAATCGCTGGTAAATACAGGTGTTGTTGTTGTGTACTGGGTGCCTGCCAATAATCAGCAATCTGCAGTGTGTATAGTAAATCTTTGTATAAAAGTGCTCCAACATCTGGCAATTGTCAGAGACGGGAAGCACAGCGATATCTCACAAACGGAGCACCGCGGAGAGAGAACAGGTGTGGGAAGAAGAACGAAAGGTTAACGAACACGATGAGTTTCACTCATATTCTCAACATTTGTTTTGGCAATTTTATGTTCTCTTTTTGTCTCAATTCCTCCCTCTCCTCCACCCTCCGCCTCATATTTGCCAACCATCCCCCATCCCCCTCTCCATCCCTGCCCTCCCCTTTGACATTGACCTTGGGAGCGCGGCCGATGCTGCTCTGCTACTTAATATACCCGAGGCTCCGAGGAAAGCTCAGATGAGATGAGGTGCAGCGGCATGCATCACATATAGATTTATTGTCCACAGATTTACTACACGGGTCGGCCACGGCCCCGATCTGGACACGCGTGTCACTCCAGCCCCGTGCTTTAAATGCACAACGCACAGCCGTGACATGGAGAGAATATATATCGTAGCTGACAAGTGGGGAGGTGTGGTGAGAAAATACATTGTGAGAGGCCGGTGAGACTCAATTCATAATGCAACACAGCATCTTGTGGCTGATTGACAGGTGTCAAATCCAGTGCATGTCCCCACACGTCTGTCTCCAACTCAAGGTTTAGAACATGCGACTCTCCTGAACAGTTATGCAATGAAGAATGTTTTCTTTAAATGAACACTGGGGGATATTTTGACTGCTATACTGAGCAATGTTCTAATGGTGGAGTGTAAAAGTCCAAAAGTCCTGACTTTGGATGCAGTAGTTTGACAAATAAATGTATCTTAACTCCTCTGTGATTGTCAAGCCTTAAAGGAGACGGTAAGATGCATTAAAAGGATCCACAAAATGCTAGTTAATGTACCTTGAGTCCTAATGTTTTGGTGGGTATTTTTGTTGCCATTTTGATGATAAATATGTATATTTACCATATTAAATGCATGGAGTTGCGTTTTTGGACACCTGACAAATGTAAATCCAATATTCAGAGATATCTTACTCTTTAGTTTCCAATGTGACTTTATTCCGTGTATTCCTGTTGGTCCATTGATATGTGCTGATATCAATAACAATTAAAGCGCTCTTAATCATTACCCATGTCAGTTAAGACAAGGACATTCCGCCTGTTACACCTGCAAGATATGTGTCTTTTGTGTTCCACTCTCACAGGTTAAAGTTGGCCAGAAAGACAACCAGGCGTCGTCTTGCTAATGGTCAAAAGGTATATTTATCTCTGGTGTATCATGTGATGTCATATCATGTCTGGCAATGTTACAGGGACATTAACCCGGGTCTTTTGTTTGAGCCACTGACTGCCAATGAAAAATACCCTTTTACCCTTTTAGTCGATTATAACTCAAGTCTTAAAGGTCATTAAGACATTAAGTGCCAGGATAATTCATTCAAATGATATATTATACGTAAGTGGGTTTTGATGGCTGTTTGATATTGTAATTTAGATTTCCTCTAACTTTTAAATATCTATCTTTTAGGCGTTTTATGGATCACCCTTAGGAAGTGTCAAATACATTTTGTCAGATAAAACTGTTTTCATATTTTTATGCCAACAAGAAAATGAAGAAAAACTGCTTTCTTTACAGTCCGAGAAGGAGCAGTTGCTAAAAGCACAAAGCACTGCGTATGGCGATAATTGTAGGAAAACACAATTTTGAGTGCATTTTTTAGTGCTTCTAGAATATGGAACCATGTCAAAATCAAACAGCTTAAACTACTGTGTGAAACTACTAGTTCAACGTATAAAAGGTTTAATTAGACGTCATCTTCTTCTTATGAGAGCAACTTCATTCCTTTGGCATTGGAGGTTTCACACAAACACTGTCAAGCTGTTGT